AATGTATCAAACCTAATGTATCCCGTGCACAATGCTATGTATCCCGCAAACATCATTTTTAAGGGATTTTTGATAAATAGAAAACTAGAAGGTATAGGATGTTATTTAGTACTTATAATATGTGGTTCCTATAATTTATACTATTATTATTCTAGTTTCTAATTTAGCTAACGCTTTAATTTTATCCTTTTATTTTCCACCAAATTTGGTGGTAATTATTAAACTATGGTTGGGGTTTTGACACGTTTCTTTTCATTAATAACAACACAATTTTAATATTTTGGTTTACCATTTATTGAGTTAGATTTTTGGCTATTATATGAAAAAATTTCACTAGTTTTCTACTGGAGCTTAGTATTTGATATTCGTATAATCGTATTTGATTGACTAATTCAAATTCATACAGAAGTCTTATATTAGGATAAAGTGCTCTCTATTGAAAGAGGTACAAACATATCAAAAGAGACGAAATTCTTCAATTATTCTCACTTTTTGCCCTCTATATTGTACTATATCATAACCTTGAAAAGAAGCTTTTCTTTAAAATTTTTTTAATACTATTATATTAATGTGAAAAAGTTCTCTTTAAAACTGCCTCATGCAATGGACCGATGCCTATAAGCAAAGTTTCCTCGTATTTACCTAGGATATTTTTTAATACTAGTAAAAAACAATTTTCTACTTTCTATGATTTTGTTGTCTTGCTACTTATGTCCTTCATGCATGGGGATTTTCTTATATATAAAACATCCGCTTAATCTTTACTAAATCACTAATATATTTAATTATACATAATACATAAAAATAACTGTTAACTTGATCTCAACTTAGGTGTGCACAAATAGACATTTAAACTTATATATAATTCAACAAGTAGATACAGACATCCTATGTGACGTTCTACATAGCAATTTGCATCCCACATGATGTCCTTCGTGTATTATACCACATAAGAAGTGTGTGTCTACTTGTTCAACTTTATACAAGTTTAAAGTGTCCACTTGTGCACATCCAAAATTGGAGAATATAGATGTTAGTTAAGACCAAGTTAAAAAACACGTTTATATATTATGTCAATATATTTATTTGATCATCTAATTATTTAAAAGTTTTTCCTTTCTTTTAAATTTTCTAGCGCCTCATACATCCTCTTTTCTTCTTAAGGTAAGTTAAAAGGCTTGCACAATAGAAATATCTAGGAGTGGCAAAATCAAACCCAATCCATCCAATCCGGTTAAGTTTGGATTGGTTATTGCCCCGTCCATTCATTAGCTCTACCCATTAAAAATTGGATTGATATGTAACCCGAATAACAAATCTTGTCAAAATATTTTTAAAAAAACTTTTTTTTTCAATTTGATATGTTATAATTATATATAGTCATAATAAAGAAAAATAATAATTTTATCATGTACTAAAATAGTTTAGAAGAACAAATAAAATAATTAAGATTAGTAAAAATTGGATTAAGTCTTGACCCGTTATATAACTTGTTACCTAACCCATTTTGATCCAAGCAAATTTGGGTTGGATTGAGTCTTGACCCGATTATTGTCTTAACCCATTATGACCCATCCAAATTTAACTCAACCCACCCAATTACCACCCCTGAAAATATATAATTGACAATCTTTAAATTGTTAGAAAACATAAATTTTTATTTACTTACCCTTATATTATGTTTCAATAACTTGTCACAATGTTATTTTCTCTTTTTAAGTTTCAAAGAAAAAAATGGCATATAACACAAAAATTAATTGTCGAGTAGTTTCATCAATCTAAGGCTCTTCCCTTTTAGGTGATGTCAAATTAAGTTAGGAATTTCTCTAAAAAAAAGTAATACATTAATTTGACCTACAAATCTAATCATATAATTAATTTTTCAATGACGAATATTCAACTGACTGTAATTATTCAGCCATGATTTTAAAATGTGTTGAGTGCATTATGAGTAATACTTAACACTGATCTAACTTATCTGTACGTAACAAGCATCATATATTACTTTATAGATATT